TGTTTTGAGGCACACCATCATTTTTCCTTGCCTTTGGATTAAAAAGTATACAGGATATACACTTTTTACAGTGTTCAGCTATTTTTTCTGACATATTTGGAAACCAGAATGCTCGCTTGATCAATTCTATAACTTTATCCTTTCCGAAATGCCCCATTGAGTCGTGGAATCGGTATACAACAGAATCTTCCATTGCTTGAGGCACGTACAATAATAAACGGTTTTTCTCCTTTCTGAACAACAAGTTATCTCGAACCTCGTATTTTTTTAAGTCTCCATTTGTTGCTGATGCTTTCAATGCGCAGATGACAGGATCTTGAATTTGAGCCACGTACAGAGCGTTCTCGAACGAATTATCTTCATTGATGTCCTTGGCCAAGTCAACTGTGTGAACGTACATCCTTGAAAGGGCGTCGACGTGCTGCATTTGCTCCCCAGAACGATGCACGACCTTGTAGTTGAACTCCTCGAGGAACATGGCCCATCTTGCAATTTTCGAGTTGATATCCTTTTTCTCCAGCGTTTGCTTCAGGGATTTACAGTCAGTTACTATTTCAAACGGAATACCAGTAACATAGTGTCTAAAGCGCTTCAACGCATATACTATTGCCAGGGTTTCTAGCTCAAAAGAATGGAGCTTGCTTTCTGCGGAATTTGTTTTACGACTGAAAAACATGACCGGGTGATATTTATTGTCAATCCGTTGACGCTGCATCAAAATACCTCCAAATCCTTGCGATGACGCATCTGTATGCAACTGCGTATCAGTATTTGGAACATATGTGCAACGCACAGGACGCGATATCAACAACTTTTTAAGCTTTTCTACAGCTTCCAACTGCGGTGCTCCCAAAAAATACTCAGCATCTTTCTTAAGAAGATCGTAAAGAGGACTAGCTATCGTAGAAAATCCCTTGATAAATTTCCTGAAATAGCTCATCAATCCCAGAAAACGTTGCAAGCTCTTCGCGTTTTGAGGAACTGGTATTTCGCGAACTGCTTCCACATGCCGGTCACAAGGGCTGATTTGATTGAAGCTGATGCTGTATCCCAGGAAGTCAACACGAGTGACTAGAAAACGGCTTTTCTCCAGATTTAGTTTCACTCCGTTATCTTTGAGAGTAGCAAAAACTCGACGCAAAAGATCTAGATGCTGATGCACAGTTTTTGAGCAGAGCATTATGTCGTCCATAAACACTATCAGTTCTCCAGACTTGACAAAAGGATGCAGAATCTTAGCCACATAGCGCGAACGGGTGCGTTTGTGTACCCAAATGGAAGCTTGTTGAACTCAAATTGTCCGTTTTCCGTGACAAAAGAAGTGTACTTTTTTGAATCCTCGGTAAGGTCCACATGGAAAAACCCATTTTTCATATCCATTGTAGAAAAATACTTCATTCCATCTAACTTTGCAATCTGGTCCTCGATTACCGGAAGAGGAAAATGATCTCGTTCAACTAACCGATTCAAAGATTTGAAATCGACGCACAGTCGGAAAGATCCGTTTTTCTTTTTCACCAGAACAATCCTACTGGAATAAGGAGAATCGCTTTCACGTATAATGCCTTTATCTAGCCATTCAGCCACTATTGACTCTACCACCTTTCGCTCTGCGTGACACAACCGTTGTGGTGAGACGTTATAATATTTCTCTTCCCGCAAACGAATTGATGCTGTAAATTGTACCGCTTTTCCGTAGTCCGACTTTTTGATGCAATAATTGGTCTGATAAGCACGCAAAATTTCTTCACGGAACTTCACAGTCTCCTCGTTATCACCAACAATCAAGCAAAGTTCTTCTTCGACCGACTGGTTTAGAGCATTCTCTCCGAATGCTGTGTTCATTAGTACACTGTCGTATTCACTTTTAGGTTTTTCTTCTGATTTCGAGAATCGTATAACCGATAGATTGTTTCGTTTCATAAAATCTCGACCTAGAATTGCACTAACTTCCATTGTCTCATCAGGAACAACATAGAAAGAAACGTCATAAACTAAGGACCTGAATAGAACTATTTTTGTTTTTAAACAACCTTCAACACATATTTTCGAACTATTCACACCTATTATTTCTCGATTGTTTGCTACCTCTTTATCCAATCTAACTAGAGCTGCCAGTGCTGAATGCTTAATTAGGCTTACCGCACTGCCGGAATCCACCAACAGCTTGAGTTGCTTGAGACGTCGTCCAATAATCGCTTCTCCTTCCATCATTCCGTCTTCATCCGTATCGATTCCTTCGTTTGCCGCCGGCTGATCCTGATTAGATGCAGAAATCATAGCGACTCTCAGCTTCGGTGCAAAAGTTGACGGCTTCTTGTCTGGACAAGTATCCTCCTGATGACCAACCTTGGAGCAGCAAGCACACCGAGAACGACGTTGCGGTTTGGGGCAGTTAACGGATTTGTGCCCTGGCGCGTTGCAATTGAAACAAACCCAATCACTAGACCCAGCTTGTGATGTTACTGGTACCAGTGCTGCTGTTCTTCCGTCGTTACCTGTCGGACGGCTTGCTTGCGAAATGCGAGCCACGTTGTAGTTTGGTTTCTTCATCCGGAAATTTGCTTCGCACCACTTCAAACGCTTCAAGAGATCCATAACTGTTCGGTATTCCGCCGATACTATTTGCTCGTAAAGCTTATCACGAGACAGCCCACTAATGATGTATTTGATGAGCGAAGACTGTGACATTTGTCCTTTACTCGCAATGTTCTGCATTCTGAAGACGTAACCTTCGTAGCTTTCCTGGTTGCTTTTCATGGCTGCCATCAGCTCTCGATGGATATCGGCATCATCGACGTAGTTTGGGAACGTTGCAGCTATCATCTCTTTGAAATCATGGAAATTGAAAATGTCCTCCTCCACAGAGTTGTACCATAGAGGTAACTCTAAGACCACTGGGTCCCGAAGAAAATCATTATTATTTTTGGCTCACTCAGTACCAGAACAACGGTCCCAAGCAGTCCCAAGCTATTTCACTCACCCCTGCATGTTCTGCATGAATCCACACACCCCTGATGTTATCTGTCAAACTTTCATAGCGAATCAAAACAAACATAGTGTAGTAATAGAATTTCATCTAGAATAGGGTACGTTAATCGTTTGCTTGGGACCAATAGGCTACTAAAGTGGTGAGCCAATTTAAAATCGTTAGTTTCGTATTGATTGTTGGTTGTACCACAGTTTTGCTGATCCAGTCAACCTTGTGGTAGCGTACAAAAGAGCAGCTGCATCGGTCCAATTGTAGAGTGTTTTGTAATGATCCAGTTTGCGTAGCCATGACGTAACAGCATTTTCGCCATTGAATTCGCTTATCAAAGCCTTCACTTCCTCCGGATGGAGCGGACGGGATTGAGCTTGCGGTGCGTTCCTCATCAGCCAGTTTTCTTCTTCCTCCTGTGAATCGTATTCTCGTTCGTCGACGCCATGTCGTCGTCTTCGTCTGGGCATCCTTCTCAGTCAGGTTTTTACGTCTTAGACAGAGAATTAGCCTCCTCGTAACCGCACACCGTTTAAAATCACGTAATCCAACTAGCGAATCGAAGCTCAACGTATAAAGCCGCGGTGTATACCACTTCTGAAATTTCTATAGGATTTAATTAAAACGAATTTATTTGCTTCCGTATTCGATCGTAGCTAGCTTAACAATGTCTGCCTCGAGTGGGAGTCGCCTTCTCCGCGCTATTACTCAGACACTGAACTGAAATGTGTGAGGGGTATGAAAATGGAAATGAGGGGTAATAACTCCGTAATAACTACACTGAATGTTTTCTCTTCTACAATAGTAGCTTCTTTGATTGAACTACGTATTGAAAATAGCTGGAAGAGTCTATACATAGCCGTGGGGATGCAAAGAAGTTAGGTTATCTTTATTAGCGAGACTTTCAGCCAGATGCTGGTTCATCTCTAGGGATGCAAAGAGAAAATCTACGAAGATAATCTATCAATGTCACTTAGGAGCTTAACAGTTCGTAATATGTGTGGTATTGAGATGATCTATTTGGCTTTTATTTTGATTCTAAAAGCATCGTGATTTAGATCAACCGGAAAAAACACTGTCTTTTTTCTTCCTCATCATCAGTTCTTACGCGAGAAGGGAAACTAACGTCAACAATGTGATTACGTATGAATAATAAGGAGTGACAAAGAAGTGCGATTTCACATGCCGAACCTTTGTAGATCGAGGTTCATCTTCGATAGGACGAAGTTGCATCCATTTATAGACCCAATTTGAGTACACTAGACCGACATTACAGCCACGTACCTGTAATGTTTTCATGTTGAACCTTTATGGTCAGGTTTAAGAAACGTTTCAGTTATAACGGGAAACAAGGATTGAAGAGGAATAAGAGTCAAACAAAGTAGAAAATTTGTAGTTAATATTGTGCACTGAAAAGTGCTGTTTAAATTTGTTGTAGCTTCAGCAAAACGGAAATAGAATTAGATAAAAACCTCTATAAAGCTCGCAATGTTACTTGGCATGTGCTCAATCCCAACGAAATTCATAATAATGTCAACCATTTTTTCATAGCACCATGAACATCAACTTGCACGATATTGCATACTTTACAGTACAAGTAGGTATACTCTTCACGCACATCATATCTAACTTGCACACAACCGCAACTGCAATCTCGCATACAAGGGCTCAATCATGCTTACAAGGTGGACTTTCCCCGGCTTGCACCTTCTCACATTGGCATGCGCTATTTAGGGGCACACTTAAATGACGTAGTATATTTCTGATCTGGGGTTTCATCCCCTTTCTTGTTCCCCTCGTAGCATATTTTCCCATACCTAGACCTCCTCCACCCCCAAAAAGGTAACGCCATCTACGCTTGCCCCCTTATTAGCTTTGAATCGCATCTAGCAACATGCTGCTGGCTGATCATCGTCAGTGGCACCTCGAGATTTAGTCATCCAACGAAGGCGAAAATACTCAAACGTGATTTCCTGTTAGTACTCGTAGCAACATCCATTATATAGAATATAAGATAACATTTATCTAGTCTGCTAGTGATAATGCGTCACGTGAGCTGTGATATTACTTTCCCATACAATTGGTGCCGTGAATTTTACTGCGGTGAAAGATTACAACTTTCGGTCGAGGTACGGTGTGCCAAGTCGGTTACCGTTAGAGGTGAGGCACTGTTTGTTGACTCAGAGTGTTTACTTCACATTGCGAAATCGTTCAATTTGTAGGAGTGAAGCTGTATATTAGCTGTCAAAATTTGGAAAACGAGCCGGATGATGAGTACGGCCGGTACATCGATGACATCGAAGAGGATGTGGTCTCAAATAAAAAGGTAACCGAGTTTATAACGGAAATAGATCTTTTAGGAAATGATGGTGAGTTTTGGAAAATTTGATTGGTGATTTCAGTAACATTTTAATCCTTCTAGATGAACCAGTACAGTTTGCATCAGGAACGCACATTTTCAGCGTAGACTGCCATCTGCCAGAGAGAATCGGTGATCAAAACTGTGATAAAAGCGACCAACTAAGTTTATGGATTAGTGTAAGAATAAAGAAGGCTCCCCTGAAGGATGAAGCATGTCCACTTGAGGTGGACCATTGCAGAAAAAGGCAGACCAATTTCACATGGCCTGGCAGCTTTGAACGCATTTCCAATTATTCTAACGTACGGGTAGATATTGAATCTTTCCATGCATCAAATGTAGAGGAAGAAAATAACCGACTATGCTGCTCGGAAGACGATGACGAATTTCTGGAAAATTGGTTGGGAGCCATTCCAATGCAAGGGGAACTGTCGGATGAGGATAGCTAAAGCGGCTAGCGGGAAGATCTAATTGGAAGTGATTTTTAGCGATCTATAGAGTTCATGGATTTCTTCAGTATTTATACGGATCGTGTCCAACCAACTACAACCAGGAAGTCAGTGCATGTGTGGAAAACATTTGGCGCATGTTTTAAGAACCTTCGGCGATTATATTTACATGATTCTGAAGCTCTGTTCAGAGCACATGATGCGGGTGCTAAAATGACGACTAACCGCAGGTGTTGGTTTCTACCTACGATAATAAAATACGTCTAGTTGATGCTAGCAGGGAGGACAGTGAATTTTCATTTTAAAAGTCCCATTTTGGGTTATCGTTCGTCTATGGTATTTTGTTTATTAGGGTAATCATGCTTTGCCAAAAGTATGGCGCGGTCAACCCGGTCAAAAGCAGCTTTTAGATCCGTGTACACAGCGTCTACCTGTGATCCTGTTTTCATATTCCGTAGACACGAGGAAATGAAAGTAGTAATGTTTGTTACAACCGATCTCTTAAGGTGGATACCATGTTGGTCCGGGAAATGTAGTTTCTGCTGCTATAGAATAAGGCGTCGTTAACAATGAAGTCGAAGACTTTAGAGCAGGCGGAAAGGGATCACATCACACGACTTTCCATAAGTCGTTATTTCTACAAGTCGATGGGGGTTATTCCGAGAGTCGAAGTGACATTTGTCACTAGTGAAGTGAGAAAAGTCACTTCGACTCTCGGAATAACCATCGATGTTTCCTTTGGTCATAGATCTTCGAAGGGATGGTGGCTACCTTACATACATACAAACAAGTCGATGTTTCCTTTGGTCGATGATCTATGTAGTGTTATTTTGATTCTATAACTCGATATGTCAAAAGTAGAGCTTCTGAATTCAATGATGTTGATGTTAGGGGCCTCATAGCCTAGTCAGTAAAGGCACGGTATTAGGTTGGAAATTTTCTCAACTTCCCTGGGCATAGAGTATCATTGTGCTTGCCACACAATATGCAATATATATGTTGGCATCGAAAGCTCTCAATTTAATAACAGTGGAAGTGCATTTAGAACACTAAAATGAGAGCACACAATAAGCTAATATGCACTAAACACTAAGCTTGAAATGCGAATCTGGAACCTCTAATTTATAACAGGACCTATCATGCGATATATCAAACAGGTTATATTGAATGTTCAGAGCGTTGGGTTATTTGGCCGAAGGTTAGTATACCGAATGGTCACTAGGCCAAAAGCTTGAGCTTGAGCTTGATTGACCGCCCACGGTTGCTACTCTGTTACTGCCAGATCAGCTGTAATTACACAGAGAACCAATAGACGATGCTTGGGACTAGCAATCATCCTCAATGTGTAAAAACTGGTGATCTTAAATTAGGCAATACCAGCGCCGGCCGCGCCCGAACACAGGTCAAGAAAGGAATGGGAAGGATTGTGTTGACATGACACTCGCTTTGATGGAAGCCGAGAACACCACTGCACTTTCACGAGGAATCACTGGGATGTTGGATAAGAGGGTTGGGTTTGCAGCAGGGTTCGTTTTGGTAAACGATAAGCTGAATTGATGTCCTAACGATCATATAACGCGAAGGAGCTTGGGACTAAACCCACGGTCTTTTGCTCAGTAAGCGAAAACGTTTGCCGAGCACCTTTTTAATCACCGAGTTGCTGTTATTACCATGTAGTCATATTAACAAATAAAACGATTGACGAATCTTGAATGTGGATGGGCCTGAGATTAGACTCATGATGTTCTGCTCAGTAAGCAAAAACGGTTGCTCTCAGGCCACCGAGCCCCTCATATCACATAATACCGTTGCTCAAATTTGTATATCCATTCAAACCCGGAACCAACGACAACAACGAGTTTCGCAAAATACACGATACACAAGCGATTTTACCATAAATCTCTTAGATATGTAAGGACCTGGGACCGCGTTTTTCTGCTCAGTAAGCAGGCCACTGTAACCGACGATCTTTCAAATCCGAAAACTAAAAACTACGAAAAAGTACTTAGGCCTTCATTAAGTTCCACTTCCACGCGACGTTCAATGACAGGGTCCTATCCAGGATTACATCTGAAAAATCCAAATCTGGCCAACGCCCACCTAAACCTGTTCTAATCCACCTGAAATGACTAACGAATGGACTACTTTGACTACCCAGCCATGCAATAGTCTCATTCCGTGCCTTATGGCAACTTGATGATTCTATTGCGCTCATCTTTTGGCACCACCCAGGGGAGACTTGGTCCTGTACCCAATGCTTAACTTATCTCCATTCCACTCAGCTACTCGCAATTTCTTGTGATATAGTGGGCGGAATATTATTATATGAGACAATTCAATGCAGACGTCTTTCCAAATTTGGCAGATCGACAGGTAATCGGTGAGTTACCACGATAGTTGCTATTTAACAACTCGACAACGTCCCATCGTCAACGCCTGCTATGAGAATTTCCCATTGCAGACGCCAACGAAATAACGTCATCGAGCTATCGATCAACTACCCTGGTTATCGCCTGGTACATTATAGCACGATGCTAGGAGGCGAACCGGAAGAATCGATGAGCTACCTCTCTCCCCCTATACCGAATGGTCACTAGGCCAAAAGGTCATTAAGCCGAATTTCGGAAAATTGTTTCTTAACACTTGCGAAGAAAATTTGCTGTCTAAAAAAGGGTATAACGAGCAAATAATAGAATTATAAATAAGGCTATTCCATATTGGACTCAAATTGCCAACAACTATTCTGGCCCATGCCAGGAAGGAGAACAAGAAGAAGAAGAAAATACTATAGAAATTCAGGGTATCTATACCAGGACCAAACCAAGAAAATCGGGAATTCTCTGAGGATTTTAATTTTCATCATTACTCAAGGAATTTTAAAATAATTCTATTGCTTACGATTTTTAAAAGAATATATAATACATTCAACTATTTAATAAAATTTTAATTTTCCTTGTTATTTTCCTTCACTCATTGAACTTAATAGATCCTTAGCGGATTTATCTTCAGTAACAAAATAGGTTTAAAAAATTCAGAGGTTTGATTTGTTTTTATTTTAGCATCTGGAACATGGATATTTTTCACAAATTTTAAATTTGAACCATTTTTATGAAATTATGGGCTAAACAATAATAATACTTGGACAAATATTCCAGAACCTATTTCCGTTTGAAAAAAAACATCAAGGGATTTTTTTTATATCTTTATTAAGGAGATTTTCAGCCCTGGGCCCACACATTAAGGGAGCTTTGGGAAGAACTGTGAGGAAAACATTAAGTGTAATCGGCTTTCAATGTAGTCCTGATGGACTCCAGATTTTATGTGAAACCTGAATAACAAGGAAGTTCTGAGCAGAATTTCAAGTTAACTCTAAATAGGATTCGAATGAAATTTTAATTGAAATTCATAAGAATTTCTGAAGATAATTCCTAATGAATTCTGAATAGAACATTAAGGAAATTCAAAGAAGAATCCCAAAGAAATTCTGCGGATAATTTCCAGAAGTTTTAGGGAGAAAAAGAAAAAGAATCCGGAATTCCATGGAAATTTTCGGAGAGCACTTCGGGAGTATGCTAAAAGGAGGATAACAATTAAATCTGAAAATAATTAGAGGAAAACTACAAAGGAGCTCGGAAAACAGTTCCAGGAGAGTTCTGACTTGAGTTCCAAATAATTTCAATGAGAAATCTATGGAATTTGTTACTTCACCGCTAGCGAATTCTTAGGAAACATTTAAAGTACGTACAATTCGAAAGGAAAGAGTAAAACTCAAAGGGCATTCTAAAATTTATCCTTGGAAAATTCTGATAATATTTCCAAAAGACTTCTACTGAGGAGCATTTCAAGGCAATCCCGAAGAAAATTCGATGGGAATTGATTTCCGAGGATGATTCCAATGATATTTCAAGGGAATTGCAATCACGTTATATTTTTTAGATAATTCAAAGGAGAGTTCCAAGAGAATTGGGAGGAGCAATTCAAAAAAATTATGGCAGTCCTGAGGAAAACTAAAACGGAATTCCAAAAAAAAATCCATTGGAATTTCTGGAGAATACAAAAATAAATGAGGAGAACTTCAAGCGAATTTTACGAAGAAATCTCTGGGAGATTCCTAGGTAATACTGCATAAATGAATAATAATGTGTAGAGCATTGCAGATTTAAGTTCAAATAGTGTTCTGCAGCAAATTATAAGAAAATACCAGAAAGAGGTCTAAGATGAAATCGGAGGATATTCTGAGATGATTCAAGCAAAGTCTTCAGAAAATACGTAAGAAGACCTGTAAATATTTTCAATCGTATAGAATTTGTTTTATAAATAGATATTGGACAAAAAAATCCAGGGATTTGAAAAAAATAATAATAAATTTATATTTTTTTAGATTTAATGTTTAGATAATTTTATGATCCAGGATTAAGAAAAATCTCAGGTAATTTTATTTTAAAATATTCCGGACATGAAGACATTACCAAGATTCTGGAACGTCCATATAGTCAGAACAAATATCTAAGTATTTAAAATCTTAAAATTATAACTGTGTAAGGAAGCTCGTCAATTTTTGTTTTCGGTCTGAGCTGATGACTATTCGGCCTAATGGCCGGACATCGCCACGGCGATAGTGCCACATCCAGAAATGATCAGAAGTTTTGACATCTAGACAACATAAATTTCTGGAATTGGCAGCCATATTGCTTGTTTTGTGTGTATTGACTTAATATTATAAATTAACCACCCAGAACTTTCATAAATGGATCCTTGTAATATTTTTCGAATTCATATGAGTAAATAATGGCGGATAAATGGAAAATATCAGTATTATTCTTGGAATTATAGACGATAAAAACAAAACATGTTGTTTATTATATAATTCGATAATTCTATAACTCGATGGTCCCTTCAATATCGAGTTATGGAGAGTTGACTGTATTTCCTCATCAAAACTTTATATTTTTAGTTTTTCTTTTTGCTCTCACTACACGCTATTTCAAAACTACCCAAATTTGGGTACATTCCACCCATATTGGTCAAAACTGAACCTACCTAAAAATGGGCGAACTGTGTTGGGAGTGACAAGTTGACAAATGAACAACATCGCCATGAATCCGATCAACGTTGTTCATTTGTCAACTTGTCACTCCCAACATAGTTTACCAATTTATGGGTACACGGAAATAGAAAACTACCTAATATTAAGTTCAAAAGAACCTAAAATTGGCTTCTTCCGATTGAACTAAACGATTGGGTAAATATCGCTTTCGTTATTAGGTTCTTTTTACCTAACGT